CGTTAGCTGTTTCCAGGCCCCCCCCCTTCCTGGCCAGCACTACTCCCATCCTGGCCGGTCCTTATCCCCCCCGCCATACGCCCATGAAGCGTGTCCCGTTTTTTTTTAATGACTACCTGGTAACACCCCCTCTCCCTTTTTTTTCCTCCACCAACATTTTTTCCCGCTGTTTTTTTTGTTTTGTTTCTTTTTTGCGGCGGGGCGGGGGGTGTTCAGTATTTTTCTTTCAGCCATCTGGTAACCCTATCTCAGAGTGTATCATTAAAGGGTCTCCTGTATGCTGAGTTGAGTCCACCACCTTGTATGCCAGATGCTGCTGCTGCTATATCCTCTAAGCCACTCCAGAACCCACCCTGCCTTCAGCAGGTCCCTAATCCTGGGCCGGGCCCCTCCCCGGGGCCAGCCGGTGTTGGCTGCCCAGCTACCCCAGGTTGGGAGGGGGAGAGGGGAAGGGACTCGAGCCACCAACCTGCAGCTGGAGAGTTTTTGGGAGGGAATTCTATAGAATAGCTCACAGTTAACCAGAAAATTGTAGGACTGGAAGGGACCTTAAGAGGTCATTTTGTCCGTCCCCTGCATTCCCTCCATAGCATACAGTTAGTCATCTATTAAATCAACTGCAATTTGTGTTAACTCTTAATTGCTATTAAACCAAACACAGCATAGAACATCATGATTATGGTGACATCAACTCACCAGTGCTGCATTTCCTGGAGCCACCCCTGTAACTGGTGTATTACCCTTAGTTACCTGTTTTTTGTTCTACTTGTCTTCATGCCCCATGTCCCTTCCAGCCCAGGGTGCCCTTTTCTCATAGTATTGTCCCATAGCTGTGCATATGGACTTCCAGGCAACTGCAATCCCTATACGCACCTTGCCTTAGTGACTCACTTCTGGTAGTTATCTAGCCCCTGCCTTAGGGCAAATTGCAGTCTGAAATGGCCACTCATCATTGGCAAGGAGGTATGGACCTGCTGCCTTCTCCTGCCCTGGATGCCTCCCTGCAGCTCTAATATTCCACCAGCCCCTGTATCAGTCCTGTAGCCTGGGAGCAGGGTTGTGTCAGTCAGAGCTCCCCAGCACTGCTGTGTCTCTGTAGCTTCCCAGATAGTCAGGTCCCTCCTGTTGCACAGCTGGAGCCTGGGTGAGCTCTTCTGAGCATTGAAGCCTTTTATAGGGCCCAGTCTGGCCCTGGTTTGCTGACTGCTCCTAGCCCTAATTGGCCAGGGCTGTATAGGCCTCTTCTTGCTTATCTGTAACCCCTCTCCCTGCTGGAGTGGGCTACAGCATACCTGATGACTCCTATAGTTAAGGATGTCTGTGTTTTTACTATAGAGGTCCATTTTCAAATACAGTACAAGCTGTGATATCCGGCACGCATGGGGATTAGAGCGTTCCAGTTATCTACAAATTCCATTTATCTGAGGGTCCCACCAATCTAGGAAAAAACAATTGACAATAATAGTAAAACTCAAGTTTTTAATATTGGTAGTTTTGTAGTGTAAGGCAGTTGGTCTCACATTTCTATTTTGAGTTAAGATGATTAGTACTTCTTAAATAAAAAATTGTTAAGCCAATCATGGTAAACCAAGCCAGGCCTGTGTGACAGTATTGTGGCCTGGCAATTTATATGTGTGTGCATATAAAGTAAGGTAAAACTCCCACTGAACAGATAACATTTCATGTTTCCAGTATTTATGCGCAAGTGTGCCTAGCAAAGGAAAGTGAAATTTCAGTTATAATAGGCAGATAATTATGGAATATGATCCATGAAAAGGCATAGGAGCCGAGGAATCTTTCTTTCATGTTCACACTAATTAGGATGAATGTGGATTAAGACATGTCCTTGAAAAAATTCCTGACAACTTCTATAATCCATAAAAATTGCACACAACATGGATTTCACCTTATGTACTACAAAGCATTCTGCTTCTGTCTAGCAAATTGTAGAACATGAGAATAGAGAATAAGAAGCTTCCCCACCTATTCTCCCCCCCAAAAAAAATTCTCCCCCCAAAAGTTGAAGGATTGCAAAAAAAGGAGGATTATAGAAGGATTATAAAAAAGGAAACATTGAGCTCATTTATTTCATTTTATTAAAGTGGACACATTTAGTCAAACTACTCATTATAGTTATATTCAACAGCTATTATTTTACTATATTTCAACTCTAGTGCCCCTCAAATAAAACTGTGTACAGCCATATAGCATATGATGGGATTTCTTTGCTTCCTCGCCTTCTTTTTTATAAACATATGCTTTTTCATAACAGAAAAAAGTACATTAAAAATAGAGGTTGCAAAAGGAAACACTCAGAAGTCAGGAAATCACAAAGTCAAGGTTGCACACACAATCCTGAGCTTTCTCCATTTGAATATACTAGAATAGTATAAGTAATTATATTATCACTTATTTTTCTCCAGGTTCCCTGTTTCACTGCATTCTTTGAGCAGTGAACAAATCTAGGGTTCATAGAATCATTCCTTATTATTTGTACTAATTGCAAGGTAGGCCATAAATACTACATAGTACTGATCCATGGCCAGGAGCACATTCCAATTGCTATGTCATTAAATTACAAAAATATCTTTCTTCCTTCTCAGTCTGTCAGAGAATTAGTGTGATTAGTTTATAGGAGTCTTATAGCGATGGCAGTGAACTGAGGTCCAGGAGACTGGATTCTGTTACTAAAACTTCTACAGTCTTCGGCTACGTCTACACTGGCCCCTTTTCCGGAAGGGGCATGTAAATTTCACTAGTCGTCATAGGGAAATCCACGGGGGATTTAAATATCCCCCGCGGCATTTAAATAAAAATGTCCGCCGCTTTTTTCCGGCTTTTAAAAAAGCCGGAAAAGAGCGTCTAGACGAAAAAGCGCCCTTTTCCGGAGGCTCTTATTCCTACTTCAAAGTAGGAATAAGAGCCTCTGGAAAAGGGCGCTTTTTCCGGAGGATCGGGGCCAGTCTAGACGCTCTTTTCCGGCTTTTTTAAAAGCCGGAAAAAAGCGGCGGACATTTTTATTTAAATGCCGCGGGGGATATTTAAATCCCCCGCGGATTTCCCTACGACGACTAGTGAAATTTACATGCCCCTTCCGGAAAAGGGGCCAGTGTAGACGTAGCCTTCATGTACAATTTTGGATTAGACACTTAAAGTCTCTGTATATTTAAGTTCTGTTTCTGCAGCACAGTAGTCATAATATTTCACTCTTAAGCTATTAAGAGTGTCTGAGAAACATAGAAAAGTGTGAAACAACAAAAATCCATATTTGGTGCAGTCCATTAAATGTTGTACAGAAGGAGAGATGTGATGCTTTACATTAAACAATGAACTAAAGAGAAATAGCGAACAACTGCATTCATCTCTCTGCCCTATTCAGATTGTTCACTCAGGCAAACCATTGAAGTGCATTTTTTACTTCAAAGTGCTTAAACACTTGATTGAATTACGGTTCAAGTGTGAAGATAATATGTAATTAAAAGAATGTATTGTAATGCAGTCACATGAAATGGCAGCACTAAATTTGTATAGGTAACAATTTTATTGGTTACTGACTTTTGAGGGCTTCATTTTACAGTCTTAATTTTCTTTTAATGTATTTTTGAAGGAAAACCTATATAAATGTGTATTGAGTAAGCCATTGATAATGAAATATGTCAGATCATAGCATCAGTAAATTCATCACTCTGACAATTGTTTGATCTCTGGTTTTCTGTAGATGAAAATGGCAAATAAATGCTGCTCTCTGTCAGATCAGGTAAGATTGTTTTATCCATAAATATTTACCATTAAATCTCTAAACTCTCTAAAAATTGCTGGAAAAAAAATCTGCCTCCCTGCACTTGCTTTAGGATGCAAAAAGTTTATACCTATAGGCAGATATGTCCGATTGCACATTCTAAATATATGTTTTCTTTAGGCAAAACAGATTTTAGAGTTTTAAATGTCTGACAACATAAAAGAAGCTCATTAATACTAGTTACACTAGTAACTGAAAAATCTATTGCAGATGAATCAACTTTGTACATTTGAAAGTAAGAACAAATATAATAGTAAAAAATAAGGATTCTACATCACAAATGAACTATGTTAACAGATTTTGAAAAATATAATTTTCCTACAAAATTGTCATATTTAGCAAAAGAATTACATTCTCTTTTATAAAAAACAGTGAAATTTTAGTTATATAATGAGGAATCAGAAGTGGGTTCTAGCCAATGAAAGTTTATGTCCAGATAAATTTGTTAGTCATTAATGTGCCACAAGACTCCTCATAGTTTTTGTTGAAATAAACTAACTTGACTAACTCCTCTGAATTTGGTAACATGACCCATCATTGCAGCAAGCTGCTATTAAATCCTGGCTGGGAAATGGGAAGAGACCACTTATTGTCTTTATGGGTTTTCCGATTGGTGATGTGAGAATTAGCATGAAAGTGATGGTCATAAATTGAACTGTACTAAAATGAAAGGCTACTTCAAGACATGCCCAACAAGGAAAATTAGAGAACACCCCTATTGATCACCTACAGCCCCAGCTTAAACGCTTCTAGTGCATCATTGACAATCTACAACCTATTCTGGAAGACGATCCCTCACTCTCACAGGCCAAGGGAGACAGGCCAATCCTCGCCTACAGACAGCCCCCCCCAAACATGAAGCAAATACTTACCAATAGCCACACACCTCCCCACAGAGGCACTTACCCAGGAACCTACCCTGCAACAAACCCCATTGCCAACTCTGTCCCCACATCTATACAAACGAAACCAACATAGGATCTGACCACATAAGCCGCAACATCAGGGGCTCATACAACTGCACATCCGCTAATGTGATATTTGCCAGCAATGCCCCTCTGCCATGTATAATTGGCCAAATAGGACAGTCTCTGTGCCACCAGGATAAATGGACACAAATCAGATATCAGGAATGGCAACACACATGAACCCGTAGGGAAACATATTAACCTCCCTGGACATTCAATAATGGATTTAACAGAAGCTATTCTCCTACAAAAGAATCTTATCACTTCATTACAGAGGGAGACATCTGAACTCGAGTTCTTTTATAAGTTCAACATTATCAAATCAAGCTTCAGTAAAGATCTTACCTGTTAATGCACTGCAAAGGCAATTTCCTCACATTTTATATTCATTTTTCCAAATCACATGCTATGAATGGAACACATCCAGCCTGACTTAATTATCTTCATTAGCACTGGTCTTATAATTGATAAGTGACTTCTTTCACTGTTATATATATCCTGAATTCTGTAATTTGCACTCCAAATCATCTGATGAAGTACATTTTACCCACAAAAGCTCCCCCTCTGCAGACATCAATGAGATCTAGGATTTCCACACATGACAAGGAAGGGTCTCTCTTTTTCTGCCCTTGGGCAGGGGCTTCAGAGCTGGCTGCTGGCTTGCTAGCAGCCTTGGGGAGATCTGGGGTCAGCCATTGTTGCACAAACTGCTTCTGCAGTGTGGCACAGGGCTGGAAGGGCCTGTGTTGTGCCTCCAGAAGTTTCCCGTGTGGCTTCAGCTTTAAATGCTGCAGGGGAAGGGAAACAATAGAGTTTTGAGGGATGTGGACAGAGAATCCACCAGGGCATCAGTGAGAAGCCCCGGAGACCAATTATTTTGAAATGACCACAACTGCGCCATCCACACACACCCTATTTTTAAAAAGCTATGTTGAAATAAGCATTTTTCCTTGTGAAATGAGGGTTTGTTATTCCAGAATAAGAAGCCTGTTATTTCAAAATAATTTTGAAATAATGGGCTTGCTGTTTGGATGCTCACCTTCTTATTTTGAAATAACACTGTAGTGTAAACGTGTCCTAAGGTGCCACAGGATGTTAGTTGTTTTTATAGGTTTCTTATGTAATTAGAAAACTCACACATTAGTTCATCATTTACTTAGTTTGTTTGTAAAATCTTGTAGTGTGGTTTATAAAAACGTTTAGGTGGTTTTCCAAATGTCTAACCCACTAGCAATTTTTGTATGTAGGAAACCACTTTGCTTAGAGGATGACCAATGTTATACAGAATTAAATGACCAGAGAACTATTAAAGAATGTTAAGTGCAATAGTAAATGATCCCAAAAGTTACATCTAGAACAAAATGAATGAAGGTTCCATTGAAACTTTAATTTCTCATGTTGTTCTTCCTCATCAAAGAGCTTAAGAAGAAGAAAATAATTAAAAATAGCAAAAAAACCCCCAAAACATGTAAATTAGATGGCAGCTTCAAGATTACCTCTTGATTACTGATATTTTAGAAAATACTGACAGGGAGGAATACATATATTAAAACTCTTTTTTGAAGTATTGCTATTTATTTAAAGTAATAACCAATAAGGAAGTTTCACTGAAGGAGCATTTGCAGGATTTGCTGCAAATACTCTAGTTCAAGATATTAAGAGGATAAGGACAATGGGGCAGAGTTCAGGATGAAATTTTTTCTTAGCTCTTGACTTTTGATTTACGGCCGTCATTTCCATGCTAAACATAAAACCTGAGTTTTGCTAGTGGCTGATTTCTTAATGTTAAAGATGCATTAGTATGAATGTAATGCACATAACTTTGTTTTTCCACAGAACCATTTGTCTCTGCAATAATTGATAGAGCAATGATGTTTCCATTCAAGATGCAAACAAATTATAAGAAACTCAATCAGAATATTAATTTCAGGAACAGCAAAAGCAAAGCTATCCCTATAAATGATTTTGCTGGAGAAGGTTGTGTCTAAAAAGGGAAAATAAAAGAAATATGAAATAGAATTTGTCAAGATACAGTGAATAAAAGGAAAAATAATATGAACTTTGAAATGTCCTGTGAAATTCTGCCCTAAAGAAATGTTTAACCAAATATAAAACTCTTGTGCATGTTTCACCAAGGAATATGGTTATTTGGAATTTATAAAAGAAACTTTTTATTAATAAATGAAAATGATGGGAAGAATAGAATTTGATATTCTTAATATTAATGGAGCCTTTTAGTGCTAAAACTACATGATGTGTGGTTACTTAATGCATCTGACTGTAAAGGGGAATTAAATTTATAGAGCAGCTGACAAAAAATATTTGAGAAACTGAAGGAGATTTAAAAATCTACCTTGATATGAATTTGGAGAAGGATACATGTGTATTTTAATGCTTGGAAATACAAAAATAAGACTGAAGCTTTCGGGGGAGGGAGGGTGTTATTTGTATGCTTTGAACATGGGAATTCCTGCACAGTTAGGCAGAGCCTGAGTTTCATGTATATTTCATTCTGGAAATTGCACTTTTCATCGTAAACTTGAATTCCCCTCCCCCCAGCTTAATTTATTCTATTATCATCTGAGGAGGTTTTCCTGCCAGTGTAGGTTCTCCACCTCCCAACAAGTGATATTTCTGTTGATGGAAGAAGCCTTCTTGTTGACATAGATCTGCCTACACCGGAGGTTAGGTCAGTTGTACTTCACATCTTCATTGTGACCTTCACTTTGCATTGGAACCTTAAATAAGACATTGCATCTGTATTGAAAACCAGCCTTATTTTAATGAAATCAGTTTATTCTAAACACTATGTTCATGCTAAGATGGGAAACAGCTAAGACAGGGCTGTGATGTTGTGATGTTTTTGGGCTTGGGCTTCTAGCGGGCCATCTAAGGGTATATCTACATTGCATTCCTCTTTCGAGAGAGGAATGCAAATGCAGGAAAGCAAAATTGCAAATGAAGCACAAATTTGAATTTCCCATGCTTCATTTGCATAATTGCATCCGGTCGCTCTTTCGAAATACCCTCTTTCGAGAAAAAAAAATGCCATGTAAACATGGTTATTTTGAAAGAAACTCCTTCTTTACCATTAAATCTCGTTTTTTAAGGAGAAAGGGTTATTTCGAAAGAAGGGGTATTTCTTGAAATAACCACATCTAAACAGCATTTTTTATCTCAAAATAGGGTATTTTGAAAAAGCGGCCAGCCGCGATTATACAAATGAAGTGTGGGAAATTCAAATCCACGCTTCATTTGCAATTATGGTCGGCTGCATTTGCATTCCTCTCTCGAAAGAGGAAAGCAATGTAGACATACCCTCAGAGGACATTGTAGAAGCTCATGGTTTTATGGACAGTCAGTTGAAATGGGTAACAGAATAAAGTAGATCTTTTTACTAGCATCTTAGGTACTAATGAGTTGCTGAACACCATGCAGCACCAGATGTAACTGTATGTTATATGAACGTTGATTTTCAAAATGATAGTGTTAAATATTGGAGGGAAGGAATGATGTACCTTTAAGTGATGAGCTTCCCAGACAGAGAATCTAAGTAGGGCGATTCAGAAGCTCCTGATGTTATGCTGTACAGCCAGATAGAATCCATTGCAGAATAGGAGCACTGAGTGATCACTGAATGACACCATGGCTAACAATAAGAAAGCCATCAAGGACTATTGACTCTGATAATTTATCAATTAAGGTTGCTACCTGGCTACTTTTTAATGCTAGTGACTTGCTGGTCACTGATGATAACGTGCTTTTTAAAAAAAAAAAACCCTGGCACCAATGATCTCTCTGTAAACTGAGTTCATGAATGCTGGCATCTGTACAGGGATTTTGCAATTACTGGCATGCTCATGCCACATGACTGAGGGGGGAGAATAAACAACACCACATCCAGGTCTGCTCTGCATGCCAGGCTCTCAACCTGCCTGCCAACTCCTGTTGGTGCCAAAGACTGGGAAGCAGGATGAATCTGATGTTTGC